TATTCTAAGTATTTTACCTTTTGAGAAAAAAAATATTCTTGAATGGGGACTTTTCACTTTGCTAAGTTTGAAAGTGGTCCAGAAATCCCAGTATATTTGTAAAAAAATTATCAAACATCCAGTATTTGGAGACATTGTTGACGGTTGCATGATAACTTCAGATCATTATTCAACGTGATCTACGACCCGCCGACCCGGCCGTTTGACTTTTAATAGCGCTAACATATACAAATCGATGAGCTATTTAAGGATTATATTTGCTACTAAATTCAAAAAAAAAAAATTGGAACTACAACTGCTGTTTTCAGAGGTTTTGATCCATTTTGTCCATATTAATGTACCATTTTATTTATCGACTGATGTTTACAAATACGTAAGTTAATTATTAAGCAGCTGTTAGCGTGCATGTACATGTGAGATGAACGTTTATAATGTTTATCCATATAAGGATTTTTATTTTTAGTTTACCAGCCCTTATATTTGAATAGTCGTTTTCTTTCAAGTTGTTTTCTTTTTTATACTCTGCAAAGTTGATTCCGAAATGTTAAGGTATCCGAAAAAACTATCGAACTTTTCCATGATATTTACAGAGAAACGTCACAGCTGTAAACCCCCCTCCCCCACCCCCAAAACGAACATATGACGTTTCTTGTGGAAAAATCGATATGTGAGGCTTCCCTAAAACTGCAAGGTTTACACTATTGAATTAAAATCCCACAGACTACAACGATTATACGTATTGATTGTTTCTTGACGATAGTAGACGCGTACGTGCATGTTGCGGAAGAGGTTATTTCGCTGGCCTCAGAGTGACAAAAGGTACTCTGGTTCTAGAGGTTTAAAATAATAAACCGCTGTTTGAAAGCGGCAAATAATTCATCGAGCCGCGCCAATCAGCTTGAATTAGGGTAGATAGTTATGATAAGACAAGGGCGGCGCCAGGGCCGGCGCCCATGCAGGGAGGCGGCAAAGGGAGCAATTTTCTCCGCGACCCCAGCTCAAGGAAGACAGGCAAATACAAATTTGAAAGGCGATAAAAAGTTTGTCGACGGAGGGGGGTAATTGTGGTTCACCGGGGCCCCAAGGGTATAATTGGCCCTGGGGCCCCATATTTCACTGAGCTGGTTTGGGCTGCGCCAGTATTTCTCCGACGGGGGGAGTCATCCGTGCTCTCTTTTGATCTTTGTCAATTGGCATTAAAACCGCAAGAACTACCGACAAGTGACCAGGGCCGGATTAACGTCGCGCGAGGCCCGTGGCAAATTTTAGCGCGAGGCCCCCAAACCTCCCCCTTTCCGCTTTTTATGAAAACCATTGAATTTAAAGACACACAAAAGTGTTAAATAATTTTTTTTCAATATTTCAATTTATTTGCATCAATTATAAACGAGATAATGGCCTGCCTGGCGCAGTTGGTGGGTATAAACAGGATCATAATATAACAGCTCAACGCAACTAAAGATTATATGAACACGAGTATTGCATATTTTCTCTGGGCCGTGCTAGGGAGAACTGCCAAGCCTAGGGGCCCTAAATGCGCGAAGTCCCTAAATTCGCGAGGCACCTAAAATGGGTGTATCCCAATAGAAAATGGCCGTGTTCTCGTAAAAATGGGCGCAGCACAGTAAAGCGCGAGGCCCACGGCATTTGCCGTATTTGGCACGTGGTTAATCCGGCGTTAAACGAGCAACAAGCTTTCATTTTCTTTAAACGCGACGTATGGGGAGATAATAATAATTTGTGATGTCGCACTGGGCCAAAATACTCAATGCTGTATTTTTGGGTACTAGTACTTGTGAAATATAGTAAGATCAATAGACATTAGTGTATCAAAATACAGTAATTTTACTGATTATTTTAACTGTACATCAAAGTAAACACACATTATTCTAAGTATTTGCTATATGCCTATAATTTGAGTTTGAGGTGGTAGAATATATAATAAAATAACAATTCCTTGTATGGATAAATGTTCATTTCACACGCACGCTATTAACAGCTGCTTAATAATTAACTTATGTATTCGTAAACATTTATACTCGATAGTCGACATGTAAAATGGTACATTATATGGATCAATGCAAACTGGAACAAAACAACAATTGTCAATTGAAGTTCTAATTTTGGGAAATTTAGTAACAAATATAAAATCACTAAACAGCTCATCGATTTGTATGTTTGCGCTATTAAAAGTAGACAATATTGAACAATCATCTGAAGTTGTCACGCAACTGACAACAATATTATATTTCAAAATACCTGTATATGATGATATTTTACAAATATCTCTGGATTTTTGGACCAATTTTAAACTAAGCAAGGTAAAAAGTCTCCATTCAAGAATATATCTTCTTCTCAAAAGGTAAGATACTTAAAATACTTGATTAAATTGTTTACTTCGACGGTATGTAAATTAACAGCGTTTGACTTGCAAGACGTCAAAAACGGACGATTTCAACGCGCTGTCGTTTATCGCGTATTCATTTGCCAAAAGAAGTATTTACGTCAATTGAAAGCTTGCTTATTAAAGAGCCAACTAGTAGAAGCATGATCGATTTGGAGCTTTATCGCATGGTGAAAATCGATTTTGTGAAAAGGGTATCGTAAATGAAGTAAGATAGTGTGCTCCAAAACTACGTTTATTTCTATTCCTAAAAGTAACTCAGATTTCCTGTAAGTCATGTACACAGTCCTTTGAATAACCGAAAACAAGATTTTTAGGGTTTTAGATCGATTAGAAACGGTAGTCGTCGTGAAATTTATCTGTAAAATCAGCGCATATTTTCCCAGAAAAAATGGCGATTTAGGGTGATCGTGTTAAAACGGCATTTTCTCAAAGTTAAAAAAGCATTTGACCTAAAAAATATATGGTGCATTTTCCGATATAATAAGGTATATCTGGGCAAAATTTGAGCAAAATCGATTTTTCAGTCCTGGTCGCGAAATGTCTCATATGTTCGATTTTTACTGACATTCACTCTTAAAGGCTATAGTCGGTAAAGATCTAGTCAACGAGGAAGTGTTGTACACTGTTTTTACGGAAGCTGAACGCATCGCCAATTCACGGCCGCTGACACGGAATCATGTAAGCGTAAATGATGAATCTTCGACCTGCTATGAACCTACCACCCGAGATTATTTCTGAGAATGACAGATACAGCCGAAAGAAATGGAGACAAGCACAATTACTTGCAAATCGCTACTGGAAACGATGGTTACGAGAATACCTACCGTCATTGCAAAAAAGAGGGAAATGGAACCAGCCACAGAGAAACGTACAAGTAAATGATCTCGTTCTCACTGCGGACGATAACGTACCCAGAAACACGTGGCCTATGGGACGAATTGTTGATGTATTCCCTGGTACCGATGGATTAGTAAGAACTGTTGACGTCAGAGCCAAGAACTCAGTTTACAGACGACCTGTTGCAAAAATCTGTTTATTGGAAGCAGCTGATAAACAAATGTTATAAAGGACGGTTGACAAGCACGTGGTGAAAGAAAGTTATTATGTGATGAACTATCTCTACCAGATCGTTCATGGTGGGCGGGATGTTATCACCACGCTAAACTTCATATTTAATTATTAACTTTAATTATTAGTTATAAGAAAAATAGGCCACACCTATAGGCGTTAGTTAGCTGAGAACTGTGATTGACATTTTTGTTGTTTATGAATTGGACGAACGCGAACGAACTAGTATAGAATACAGAAATACAGAAGGATATATATATATATTAACCGCTGCAAAGTCATGTAAGTACAAGTATTTAAATTCATGTGATATCAGCTTGGTGTACTCTGAGATAGGAATAAATTCACATATATATTTTAGTGAATCGCCTTGAATCGAACTATATTATCAACAACATTGCGACACAGGGGTGATATCTAAGCTTGTGGCGTGTTATTATTAGTTGAAATTTATGAAAGAATATTAAAGAAATAAATATCTGAAAGAATACTGAAAGAACACTATATAAATATATATATATATATTTAACAATTATACCATGAGCTCGAGTCGTATATGAGCTGATAGCCGACGAGGTGAGTAGCACCGAGTATACAGTTTATAGTTTACAAATAGAGGCGCTATAAGTGATATGAAACAAACTATTATCTCGTCTGATGTGTTAGCATATTTGGAAAATTGTAAAGCAACTTAACACTTAATTGTGCGCGAATAATTTATCATCGTGACAAGAAAAAACCTGTGTTATAGTACGATCAAGATGGGCTCAATTCATATTATAAAGATATATGTTGAATCAGTAAAAAGACCATGATAAATCAGACACTCGATTACAAAAAATACAAAAGATAAGTAAAACCTTTTTTACCTTGAAATCTAATCGCTTAAACTCTTGAGCTAGTGTTCTTATAGACTTGCTGCAAGTCTCTCTTTCATTGTCATATAGTATTGATCCGCTATAGTGCACATTACACGACGTAGCACGGAGAGGCGGAGCGAGAAAGAGGGACTTGTCAACTTCGGAAAATCTCTGTTCAAAACTGAACCGAAAATGCAAGACGTGCTTTAATTGTTTTCCTTCAATTTCTTTCTGTATCATTTACTATAATGGAACTCATGTTATTTACACTGTGCTAGATCAATACGTATAAACACTGACAGAAAACAATTAAAGCACGTCTTGCATTTTCGGTTCAGTTTTGAACCGAGATTTTCCGAAGTTGACAAATCTTTCTTTCTCGCTCCGCCTCTCCGTGCTACGTCATGCAATGTACACTATAGTGGATCGATACTATATGACAATGAAAGAGAGACGTGGAGCAAGTCTAGTGTTCTTACGTCTTTTCAGCATATGACGAGAGCGCAGAGATGACTACAAGACCGTGATCTAACGGTAATTTTTGGTGCATTTCTCGATATCCCAATAAACTTCCGCTCTTTTCAGCTCTTGTTCTACTGCTGCTACAATAACCTCGGGAGTGCTATGGTTCTTTCGCCGTCTTAGTCCTTTTCTGAAGTGGATTCGTTTCAGTTGACGAAGACTCAATTGGATGCCATGAGCTGCTACAAGTAACATTAGTATTTCAGCGTAATCCATTCCAAGATTGAAGTACCTCTCGATGTACACGTCCCTTCCAGGTGATCTTGATACGCGGAAAAGTACTGGCACTAGTTGTCAAATAGAAATCCATTTTATGATTAAAACAACTGAATATCTCCTGTAATATATTTTATTTCGATTCCATATTTTTGTCAGAGCTATAGTTCTCATAACCAAACATAATTACAAAATTTCAACTAGTTTCATAAAGAATAACGAAAGATATAATTGACTGAATACATCAAAATGGATTTCTATTCGGACAACCTTTTCTGAGCGCTGATTGGCTAAAATACGAACACGAGATCACCTGGTTGTTGGGCATTCGGGCAATATTCGCTCAACAGTCGGGCAATTTTGGTTTATTATAAAAATAAATGGGACAAATCTGTCAATTTTGAGGTAAATTTTGTGATTTTTGTTGCATATATGCCATGCAACTTTGATATAGCTCTAAATTTCGTGTCGTGTGCGGTGAGCGTACCAGTCACGTGGCAGGTTCGTAAAATACGACAAATACGTCGAGTTTTTCCGACGAGAATTTTCATACCGGGTTTCCGTCGAAGAAACGCAAAGAAATATCGATTATTCGCTGAAAATTTACGTAATTGAGCGCCTTAGAAAAATAAATCGAGGTAGGTAAAGCTTTGTTGTTTTTAACTTGCCGTGTATTCTGTTATTTGTTGTGACTTTGGAGCCGTTGTGCTTGCACTGATTATTGATCAATTATCAGGCGTTTTATTTAAGCCGGTTTTCCACTAGGCGGAATTTTGCGCGCGGAGCGGAATTTCTCTTTGTCTTTTCTAATTAGTTCCACCCGAGAAATCACAAGACAAAGAAAAATTCCGCTCCGTGCGCAAAATTCCGCCTAGTGAAAAACAGGCTTTATGTATCGGAAAAGCCTCAAAGCCATATGCTCAAAGCACACGCTATCAAATACTCGATTTTTACATATTCAAACCGAAAGGAGCCATTGTGCTCGCACTGACTATATTCTGTGCAAAGCTTTAAAACTACAGCACATTTTGAAATATAAATATTAAACAAAATTTGAATTAAAATAGTAATATACTACTGAAATTTAATACAACGCAATAGCAACCATTGTGGAGTACGCATAAGATTCAACATGACATTCAACATGACATTCGATATACCGTAAACCTCCAACTATAAGCCCTGGTCTTATATACTTTCGTAAGCGATTTTTGATGAGATTATACAAGGGGAGGGGGCTTATATACGGGGAGGGGCTTATACATGGATGATCTTTTGTGTAACTAATAAGTCAGACGTAAACAAGTTAGTCATAAACAGGAAAATAAGCGTGTATTAATAACTCGCTTTGATTAACATAGTAAGATATAAAGACAATGACAATGTTTTTAAATATTCTTTGCTATAAAAGACAATGTCAATGTTGAATAATGTAGTGGGCTACTGGGCTTATATTTTGGGGGGGGGCTTCTATTTGGGTGTGCTTATATTCAGGGGGGGGGAAGGCTTATATCCGAGTGCTTATATTTGGAATGAGGCGAGCGTTAGTACATGTGATGGGTACAAATGCCAAAATGATAAATACAGCCATTTCTTCTATCCCAAATGAATTAGAAAAAAACCTATAAGGTCATATTAACGAACTAGTACCCTTTTATCCTTTTTCAACTTCGACAATTTCAATTATAGCTTAAAGTGGAAGTCAAGTCCGTAATGTAAACAAACGGTTTGTTTACATTTTGAACTGCTGTATTTTTTTAAATATGATGTACTATCTGAATATCTAACACTATTTTGGTTCCCTATGCTTCTAAATGAATATGAAATAGAGTTTATGTTCATAAAAATTTGAAACATTCGAAATTTAGGCAATTTTTACATTAGAGGGCCCTCACATTGTTATGAGTAGAACCGATGCGCAGAACGGACTTGAACTCCACTTTAATAAGCATTTTCAATCTATTATAGTAATTCACCATTCCACTGGTTTTTTAAACCTTTAAAAAAATTACAATAAAGCTAAATCTATAGCAGGATTGGAAATAACGTTATTTAGTTATAAATTTGTAAAGGAAATCTAACAGTCAATTGCTTTTGATAAAACCTTGACCACCTTGACCTTGTTATTACCGTCGCTTGCAAATAACTATTAACAGTCGCTGATAAAAAACATTGCCTATTCGCATGAGAATCTTAAGTTTTCTTATTTTGACATAATAGCTATTTTTCAATAAATATATCGATATTAAACTTATTGAATCAATATTTTAAGTTTCACACCAGTTGTACCAAAGGTTATAAGCGCTATAGAACATCATAAAAACGGCATGCAACATGTACGCATTGCGTACTTATTTTTCGAAAATTTCTGAGTTGTTCCGAAAAATTTAGGTATGTCCGAAACATTTTTGACCATTAAAATGGTACACTGACCGAAATTATTTTGGCGACTGGGAGGGGGAAGTCGCCAAAATAAATTCCGGAAAAAAATTTTTCGGTACTGCTCGGGCACAATCCAGACAAGTCGGGCAAATTTCTTTCCGCCCCCCCCCCCCAATTTTTTCCTTCTGGTACGCCCATGATATCTCCCAATTGTAGGACAGGGATATACGGGTGAAGAACATCATATGCTGCCGAAAACATGCAAAGAAATACAGCGATAGTCCAAGACACCGCCATTGTTGCTCGTTAGCTAGTGTTTTGAGAAGAAACTAATTAATTCAAACCGGAAAGCCAACAGTTATGTATAGTCGTAATGACTAAGTCATCATGGCAAGTTATAAGTCATCATGACAAGTTATAAGTCATCATGACAAGTTATAAGTCATCATGACAAGTTATAAGTCATCATGACAAGTTATAAGTCATCATGACAAGTTATAACTCATCATGACAAGTTATAACTCATCATGACAAGTTATAACTCATCATGACAAGTTATAAGTCATTATGACAAGTTATAATCGTCATGACAAGTTATAGGTCATCATGACAAGTTATAAGTCATCATGACAAGTTATAACTCATGATCATCATGACAAGTTATAAGTCATCATGACAAGTTATAAGTCATCATGACAAGTTATAATCATCATGACAAGTTATAAGTCATCATGACAAGTTATAACTCATCATGACAAGTTATAACTCATCATGACAAGTTATAACTCATCATGACAAGTTATAACTCATCATGACAAGTTATAACTCATCATGACAAGTTATAAGTCATCATGACAAGTTATAATCATCATGACAAGTTATAAATCATCATGACAAGTTATAACTCATCATGACAAGTTATAACTCATCATGACAAGTTATAACTCAAGATGACAAGTTATAACTCATCATGACAAGTTATAAATCATCATGACAAGTTATAACTCAACATGACAAG